TATCTATATATATATATATATATATATATATATATATATATATATATATATATATATATATATATAAAGGGTGTTCGATCTTAAAAGATGCACCTTGATAATTCTTCAGCCAAACATATTTAGCAAAACCGTTTCAAACAAAAGTTATATGGTTCGATAGAGGATATAAGAAGGTACCATTGATTTGACCTTGCATAGCGCCATTAAGGTCAGGTCGAGGTCAACTTTGCCTTTTTAAATAGAAACATTTTTTTATTATACAATTTTTTTATTATACAATTTTATTCTACGTAAAGAAGTAAATAATTTTTGTTTGAAAATTTTTTATACGACCTCTATTTTCTAAAATATTTACGAAAATATCTACAAAATTATTGGTTTCAATAATTTTGTATTCGAATTCTATCAACCGAAAAATATTAAAAGGTAAAATTATATATTTTCTTCTAATAGAGCTCTGAAAATTTTTTAAGAATTTTTTAATTAACTTTTTAGTACTGCATTTTCTTTCATTTTCTTAAAGTATTAAAAAGTTAATTAAAAAATTCTGAAAAAATTCTCAGAGCTCTATGAAAAAAAGTAGATAATTTTTATTACTTGTTATTTTTGATAAAGTTGGTAGAGTTCGAGTACAAAATTATTTAAACCAATTATTTTATAAATATTTCCGTAAATATTTTAGAAAATAGAGATCATATAAAACCATTTTTCAAACAAAAGTTGTTTATTTCTTTCTAGAATAATATTCTGTAATAAAAAAATATATGTTTCTATTCAAAAAATCAAAGTTGACCTCAACCTGACCTTAGCGGCGTCATGCAAGGTCAAACCAATACTATCTTCTTATATCCTCCATCGAACCATATAACTTTTGTCTGAAACATTTGTGTTGAATATGTTTGGCTGAAGAATTATCAGGGTGCATCTTTTAAAAGGGGACTGTGTATATATATATATATATATATGTGTGTGTGTGTGTGTGTGTGTGTGTGTGTGTGTGTGTGTGTGTGTAAGTTATTTATTTTTATTAAAATTTATTGTTATCATTTAAATTATTTGAATAGAAAACATTATTTAATATTGAGTAAAGAACAAAATGAAAATAAGTTCTAAGATAACTTTTTAAATAAAATAATTTTATAATATAGTATAAAAAAATACTTTATCATAGACAAAAAATTCTAAATATACCAACATTTGTTGCAAGAATATAAAAAATTGCTAGAAATTTACCAGTATTTTTCAAAAACTTTGTATTATTTAAAAGTTGATACTGGTAAAAAATAAATATAAAAATTATTCTTTTTTAAAATCACTTAGTATGTCAGAATCATGAATTTTAACATATATAATTGTAACATATATAATTGTAACATATTAACTTTATAATTGTAACATATATATTCTCCTAAATTAAATTTTGTACAAGTTTTATATCCTTTAGCGCTTCACGTATTTTCAAATATTTTTTATTAATTTAGTTTTCCACGATACGAAAACGGACACATTTGGTGAGCAAAGAGTATATATATGTAATAACTTTTAGAGAAATATAACTTAAAAAGGAGAATTTATAAGTTAAAATTAAATAACATTAATTTTCCAAATAAAATTATATAAATACTGCAACGCCCTTTTTCGCACAGTCGGGTCACGGATCGAATGTTGAAAAATCTCGTATCTTATGGTATTAGCCTGCTTGGTGGACTGGCGACTTTGTTCGGTTCATTAAGGTTGGGCACCAAGTACGGCTGTCCATACCACCAAATATTCTAATTTTTAAACACAAAATTCGCCAACCAGATGGGCACGCCTTTCGCCCGAGACAGCACCAGAAAGCGGCAGTTCAGCCTCGCCCTGCGGTAGAGGGGCTAATTCGCAATAGGCCGGAGATGATAGAAGATCGTGTGGTCTTGATCGTAATTAATTACTCAGATGTGAAATTCTATAGTAAAGAAGGCTTTATTACTCGGTAGCTAAGTACAATCAATCTCTGTTCGCGATCGCAACATTAAAACACGGCAGCAAAATTAAACATTAGTGACCTGCGAAGGTCATGGCAGCCACGTCTTACGTTTCGACTCGGCGGTATGCTCGTTTTTGGGCACTCAGGAGTCGGATGTACGACAACTATAATTTCTTACAAATCGAAGCTCTCCGCCTATGCGAGAGAGATGCGAACCCTTACTCTCCTGGGTGAATGGTCGGACCTCCGCTCGATCAAAGGACGCGTCGACATAGCTCAGTGGTTTAGAGCAGTTGTCCGGCAAGCGAAAGACCCGGGTTCAAGTCTCGGTCTAGCAAACCGCGCTCTCGATATTTTTCTCTCTCGAAAAGATACGTAGGTCCTGAATGCACGGCGTCCCGCTACCACCTAATATGATCTCTTCCTTCTATGGTGGAGGAGCTGGGATCGCATCTTCTAATCTGCGATCCGAATTCTAACACTAACGTCGTTCACTATTTGGAACCGACTCACCAAATCAAAAGAGTAGTCACAAATCGGGCGATGTCAGGCTGCTGGCGGCAGCAATTCCTTCGGGTTCACATACTAAACAATGGCGGTCTTAAGGCGTTTTTCCTGAGTCGTTCTTTGATAACTGGCTCTGTAGATGGCACGTCTCTTACACTTTGGCCGTTTCGGTAGTTAACTATTGGGAGCTCCAGACCAGTTGTTAAAACTGTCTTTTATCACAAGTTCGAATCTCTTTCCACGACAGCTTTCGGCCTCTCATAGTTTCCGAATCGATCTCACAATTTTTCCATTGTTTAGAATTGTCAGCTTCTTAACTCTTTATTCCGACAGCTTTCAGAAACGTTGTCTCGTCCTTGAGGGAAATTCGTCAATTCGGCAGCCGTGTTTATTTCGAATCCTGAGCCTCGCGGCGTCTTCGTTCGGCTTAGAGGACGCCCCGGATCGTCGGCGTTGCGCTTCAGCTGCGACTGTCCTCCGCTCGTCTGCGGTGTCGTATGACTCCGTCCTAGCGGCTTTCTCGCGGCAGCTCGGAGTCGGTCCACTACGGCAGTAACTATCGACGTTCTGAGTTCCTTTTCGACAGCTTCCCTGATCTAGCTCTAAGACAAAGGAGTAGTATTGGCCAGGCTTATCGGTCTCTTATCACTAATACGAATCATAAGAACGATTTACCTGGGATGTCCGGTCTTGGATCTGATCGTCGCTGTATCTTCTTCCGGAATGGTGGCAGCTATCCTTCGTTGGTATGGATTTTTCTTCCTTTTCTTGTGACTCTACCTTTTGACCGACCGCTTGTTTTTCGTAAACAGGACATATATATATATATATATATATATATATATACAGGGTGTTCGGAAAGTACCGGGACGCCCGAATATCAGGAAAAATATAAGTTTTACAAAAAAATGTTTCAGACAAAAGTTGTGGCGTTTAAAAAGATGTATTTACTGATCACATCAGTTTGACCTTGGGTTGCGTAGCGAAGGTCAGGTCAAGGTCACATTAATTTTTTTAAATG